GTATATTTTGAACATTATAATTGGGGTCTTCAATCAATTTGTAGAAGCTTTGTTACACTTTCGTGCTTGCGCACACATGTAGTTATTCGTTCATTGGTAGGCTATGTATTAATAGAGATTCCTTATTGATGTTCAATAATAGCATTATAGACAGACGGTCATTTTGAATTTGCACATAACGTTATCGTCATTTGTGGAACAAGGATGACGAGGTAATGATGTAACAGGAAGGGGAAAAGTTTTCTATCATGTTTTCTTTTTTTCCTCACGTAATTTCACATTTATTTGCTTAAAAAGTGCAGTTTATGAATGTTATATTACAACATGTTATATGGTGGCGAAACTCCTGAGGGACATGTTGCATAATAAATATCCGAAAAAATAGACAATTCTGAATAATATTAAAGGTGCATACGAAGTAATTATTGGCAAAATGGGGGACTCATTGTTCGTATTTGTGTTCTTTGGATCAGTTCATTACAGCAGCAAATAGAAATTCGGCGCGGCAGTCGAAATTATAGTGGGTCATGGCAAAATGTTAGGTGCACACTGAAATGAATGACAAGAATAAAGGAATAACCGCCGGTGGTTAGTGAGTGTAATTTCCTTACCATAACATCTACTTCTATAAAGTTCATTTTTGTAGTAAATATAGTTTCATGCAACTAAATTCGTCATAAGATGAGGGTTTACCAAGTTTTTTTTACACATGAAATCCAAGCGTAATGTGTAATTATATGTATGAATCTATAAATGTGAAAAATGTTTTTTCTTTCTTTTTTGAACAAACTGAGTTACACGTGTGATATGTATACTAAGGGGCTTGGGAAAGTGTGTGTATAACCGTGTGCCAACAATTGTCCGCACAGTAAGTAAACAGGGAGAGTACAGTATACGCATATATTCAGATTGATTGAGTATTTTGAGAAAATGCCTCCACGCACCTGACATAATATTATGTACTAAGGGCGGAGGGCAGGTGCAGGGTTTGTGCATGTTAAGGGAAGGCCTCTTTATAATCTCCTCTGCCCTTAATAATCAGGGGAATACTGGGAATGCGGGGAAAATGAAATTTATCTAGTGCAGCCCAGGAAATTGCAATATCCTGTGCGTCAAATAAAGGAAAGAGGAGCATACCAAAAGAGGAAAGAGACGCGAACTCCATAATAAACCCTTTTACCGGCTGTGACTTACAATATAAACACAATAATGACGCATTTGACAAACACACAGGCGCTTCCTATAATTGCTATGTGGGATACTACGAGGAAAAGAACATCGTGCATTATCTATGGGCACAGCGAATGCGATAATTTCTTCAAAATTTACACCAAAGAAATTGTTACATTTTTTACGAAAAAAAATTATGTTTTAAAGAAGTTGTTAAGATTTAAGGGACAGAGTGAATGCACTTTGAGGTGTAAAATCACAAACATGTATAACGTGTGGGGCACTACGACCCCGTGCAATGTAATATAATTACAAATTTGGTATTTCAAGCAATGGCACTGAATATGAACGAAAAAAAGAAGAGGGAAGCATCGCATGAATTAATATATGTAAACAGATTCGTGCCTGCATATATTTCCCTTTATTTGCGATCAATCCGGTACTTGTGGAAAAGGTAAAAATTTGCAGTGGACTATCCGACTGTCTGATAGGGAATTAGCTGCTGTCGGTTAAAGTTGTTTTGGGACATATTTTGTTACGCTCCATTTCACACTTCCCTTTTCATGTACATGTTCCCATTTGTTGATATTGCTAAGTCATCTATATGTGGTTGTACCTATATATTCCTTCCTTCTTCAAAAAGGATAATTCGGTCAGGTGTGCCCAGTTTGCCCACACGTATGTATTGCATTACCACCATTCTTGTTACAACATATCCCTCTTCTTTGCCCTTTATGATTTTTTACAAAATAACCGTTCCTTAATATCTCATGGGTATGGATATCACTCTGGGAGCAGTATTCCGGGCACATCGATCTCATCGCTACACCATGTGATATTGTAGCAACGGCGACACTCTTCAAATCATAGTACTGTGTGGTCACGCGTGCACCTCATAGAATGGTACTGTAAATACATGCGTATAGTGTGCACAACTGTCATATTCCTAGGGAAGGGACGCCTAATCGAGGAATCGGGAACCTCAAACCGTAAAACCTAGAGCTAAATAAAGAACCCTTTAACACTATACCTTGCACCTTCAGCAATGAGTCCTGTACCCTCATACATCGAGAATTTGGCTTCTGAGACAGTTGGTGCTTCAAAAATGGTCATACATTCGTCTGCTATCTTAATAATGAGTCCTTTCCATGATGCTCTATTGCCATTTGAGATCTTTTTGAATTTGTCTCTGCTCAATTTTTCCTTCTCGAGGATGGTATGAAACACATCATTAATATGTTCGCATGGCTTCTTAAAGTTATTACAACTCATCCGTACACATTTATTGGATTCCTTGTTATATATTTGGAATGTTGCAATATTTTTTTTTTTTTTTTTTTTTTGTTAAATCTCCAAATAATAATTGTTCCATCTCATGTGCATAGTGTGTATGTTCTTCTGTATCATGCCTTAATGATCTGTCGCTATCCTTTGATATTTCCTTTGCATATTTGTTTACGATTCTTTGCATTCTATATAATATATTACTACATTGAAATTCTTGTTTGTCTTTTTTTGAATACTATAATTAATATTTTCTTTAACTTTAATCATTAGTGAAGCCATATTTTGCAAATATTTATAATTAAAACAAGTCGAAAATTCAAGGAATTTCTATATTAATTCTACTTTATGCATTTATTTTATACAATAATAGTGTCTTGTTTTCCCCTTTAATTCACATTTTTATTTCATTAACAAGTTGATTCCATTGTTTCTTGGTTATGGGTTTTACAGAAAGTGTTGTACACATTGAATCAGTCATAATAAGTTTAACATTTTTCCAATAAGTCCAGTCTGACTGTTCCTGCTTTTTTAAATATTCGTTTTCTTTAAGAACAAACCATTTCATGAATTCCTCTCTCTGTTTGTCTATATCTAGATTGGAGCGGTACCATTCTCGGGACTTAGCCAATTGTAAGAATTCTGATGCTTTCATAAGTTCAAGCGATTCATGATCAGAGTCCTTTTCGTTCTTTTGCCATTGATACATTAACCATCCTTTAATTTTCTTGTATTTCAATTGTTCCATATCTTTAGCATAAATTTCAGGTAAAGTAGAATAAGTGTCGTCCAACCACTTCTTTAACTGTGAATCAATTTGGGATAGTACTTTTCTATTAAACCATTTTTTCCACTTAGTGTCGCTCCGTTTTGGTTTTCTGGAAGCTGAATCGCCCTCCGTTTCTGTTGAATGTCTACAATATTCTAACCTTTTTTTTTTCAATTAAATGAATCCAGTTAGACCATTCCTTATTTTTTTGTTCCAAGAAGGTTTCTCTTGCATTATTTAAGCACACTTGGAATGCTGCCCAATCGTGTTCTGAGCTTTGCATGAATCTGTCCCAATCTGTAAGTATTAAATTTCGCATTGCATAATTTTTGGTTTTCAGTGAATATACTGCAGTTCCTTCGCCTCCCTGGGACGCTTCTGTTTCACCCTTTAACGTAGCGTCATCGGACTCTTTCTCTGTTTTTTCACTCTGTGCCTCATTCTGAGGTGATAGTAATAGACCGCCTGGCATAACCTCGCAGTCTGATGGATCAGACTTTTCACTAGGCGCCGTGGTTTCAAAAGAGGAGTCTCCACTGGGGCTAGGACAAAGTTTATTTTGTTCTGGTATTTGCGTATCCGTTGCATTCTTCACTTCAGTTCCTTTTGGCTTGTTTTCTTTTTTTTCACTTGGTGCGTTATCTTGTGAGGACGGTGGCATCGGTTTTTCTGATGGAACCTTAGAACCTGGTTTACCAGGGTTGTTTCCTGGTGGCGCGCTTTCCTTAGGTGCACCGTTACCAGGTTTAGCCAGAACTTTAGTTTGCTTTGGTGCTTGCATACCCAATTTAGCCGTTAATAATCTACTAATCCTGACACCGGTAATGCTGTTTCCGACAGTTGTTGGATTCCATGATGTGCCGAAGTCATTTACCTAGTATATGAGAACAGGGGCGGATGTATTAGGAAGGTTATACAATGCACAGGTATTTAGATACAAGAAAAGAACGAAGAAGTGTTTTTAATTGTTAGGAGCACCAATAACATTATAATCATAAATGGGAATGCCCATTCTAAGGCAACCACAATTATTGTCGTACGTTTTCGGGATATTGCCAGGAGTACAACAGGATGATACATAATGAAAATTTCACACAGGACATCATTTTGTTCCTTGTTTCCTTATCTTGAAAAAGGTTCAAAGGGCCTATATATCCTTTACTTTTTTTGTTTTTTGTATATGGATGTATTATAAGAATATTATTTTTTCTTACGTGTATATATGGATTATATGATTATTCTTTTCTTTTGATATATATATGTATTATATAATTTTATTTTAATTCATTTTTTTTGTTTCACATCCTTATTATATATGCAAGGATTCTGAGATTGATGTTTTTTTCATTTTTTTTTTTTATGCATGAAAGCATTATGTGATTATCTCTATTTTTTTTTTTTTTAAATATATAGGAAACGATTGTGGCACTGTTCTTTTTTTATATATGTATGGATTTTGGTAGATATAAACTTCTACTTTGAGCAAGAAGAACAATACTAATTAAGTCTCTTGCGTATATACGATTCACGTTTTGCTGTTCTAAGAGCTTTTATATTTTTAATACAGTATAAGTATACATAACAATATGTAATATAAGAAATGTGATGGTGAAA